AACTCCTTAAATAGGCGTAAGGAAATATTTTAGTGACTCCCATTATAATGTAATGCTGTAAATGTTTGTAACAAATTCATATATGGATAATCAAAAAAACATTAAAGATATATGTCACACAATGTCACTAAGATTATTTTGTCTGATAAACGTGGATATTTAAGGATGACATGCCAACAGTACCTGGGCTCTTTAACTGGTCCAACTGTTTTTTACCACGGCGAATTAAATACTCAATATACAGAAAGTTTTTGCGATCGACCTGAGTGGAGTTACGGCGGAACTCCTTAGACACAATGGACTCTATTTTGATACGTTCTTCGGGTGATTTAGTGCGTGCTGCTCGTAAAAATCCTCTATACAGAGCAATCACTTGCTTTTGTATTCCTGAAACCCGTGGCTTGCCAGATACCCCCATTGCAACAGCTCCTTGCTGAGCTCTTTTCTAGCTATACCTGGCGGCAAAAATTCTCAGGCGTGGACAGAGAAAAAGAACTGCATCAAAAGAGAAATAAGTATAAAGAGACTAATCCAAGTTTGCCAATCAAATCAAATTACACAAACAGAAAATCAGCTGCTCCTGAAAATTTGTTCATAAGGATGTTTTCACATATGATTCGACTTAGATTATGATCAGCTTTCTTAGCTTTGCAAACAGAACAAGCCTGAAATTGGGCACTCAGCTGGTGCACTTAGGTACCATATGATGACCTAACAATTTAACATCTTGCATAAAATTCTTGAATAGACATCATAAGAGTGTAGAATACATGAGTAACTGTAGAAATGGTTCCATCATAAAACAGTATTTTAAGGGCTGAAATCAAACGAATCGTATGTTATTAGTTATGCCTCATATTCAAGCCAACACTTATATCCAAGAACATAAGAACTTTCATGGATCAAATCAAATGAACAGTTAAAGCCATAAATCTCAAAAAATTTATGGACCAAGTTCTGTAAAACTGAACAAACTAAAGCAGATCGAGCAACCCATGCAACAGGAGTCTAAAATGTTAGCAGGAACAATTCAAAAGTAAATGAAATCAAATACTACCCAAAGGCCAAAACTAGTAAAAGCAGACAAAAAAGGAAGAAAACAAAAAGTGATCTTTATAGTGATTATGTACCGTATGCATATGCACCGGCTCTCAACTGGGAAATCCGGCGCTCGCGTTCGGAAATCCGGCCGGCGTCTAATTTTGGATGGATTTTGTTGTGTTCTTAGCTAAATAACCAAATTCTCACATCTGAGTTCGGAGTTGAGGTTTATTTCTCTAATTTTGTGTGTCATTTTCATTTTTAAAATGTTTCGAAATTGTCAAATTTATATAGAAAATACTACAATTTTCACAAAGTATTTTTTTTTCTTAGTAAAATTTATTTAATTGTTAATAATTAGTTAANATTTTGGGGTGACAATAATAGCAGCTAGTGATGCTTGCATTTTTTAACACTTTAATCTTCTACATTTAAATTGCATAACACAAATACAAAAAAAAAAGTCTATTTTTTTCGGTACAAAGGAGGAGGCTAAAGCCTAAGATAAATATGATGCTAGAATTCGTCTGTGATGAGACATCCCGCTCAGATCATGTTTAAGCCAAGTACCCACGTCTATGGGAGGTGACGTTAAACGTTGCAAACCTAACGTGGCAGAATACGCCAAGCTCGCCATAAAGTCGGCCGCAAAATTAGCTTCCTTGTGCACGTGTTGAACTCTTACGCTCCAGTCCCTTCTAATCAAGTTGCGAATGGTCTTGACCAATGCTTCATTTGCTCCAAAAACCTCTCTCGTCCCGAGGATCATATTCGTTACACATTGACTGTCAATCTCGGCGATAACTTGACGAAATCTTAAATCCCAAGCCATTTGTAGCCCTTGGAGAAGGCCCCAAAGCTCGGCGCCCGTGATGGTGGTGTACCCAATATTAACTAAACATTTCTTGTTTTTTTTTTAACACTTTAATTTATGATAAATTTACATCTTAATTACAATGTGGAACAAACTATAATAAAAAAAAGTTTTAACTTGTATTTGTTTTATTTATTTGTACGGATGCTTCTTGTACTCTAGTGGATAATATTTTTGTTTAATATCATATTATCAAAAAATAAAAAATAAAAAAATGAAAGGCTATGTCTTAGCCTCCTAAGTTCCCCAATGCTCTTGCTGTAGAAGTACCTAACTTAGCACAAAACCTTCTCAATTGCTCCTGCATTTCACTATTTTTCCAATTTTCCATACACGTTTTATTCTGAATTAAGTGATAACACACACCAATGTGGGTATGTATGAATGATTGTAATCCAACGGTTATAAATCCGATGTGCCGGTCGAGCGCTCCTCAATGATCAGTCATTGTCTCTCAAAAGAAATGAAGAACTGAGAAGAAAGAAAAAGAGAACAGCATCACACGAAGAAAGTATAATCTCTTTTCCTGATAATGTGTAATTTTGGCCAACCAAGTCATTTTCAGGCCTCCCTAGGAGACATCGGCCGCGCCTTGTCATATTCATTCCTCCCTTCACAACATTTCTGTGAATCCATACTCCAAACATAACTTGAATCTAAATGCAAAAGGCCATAACTGACTTTGTGAAAGAATATCAAAGGTCGAAAGTTTCTATCATCCATAAACTACGTAATAATACTTCATTGGAAACTAAATTGGTTACTTCGATTCAAGCTGCCTATGGAGATTGGGTTCCATTACTTCTTTTGGCTTTGGGTCCCGTCAAAAACGATTTTGTATTCCTCACTGAAAATGCAATTTTTTGCATTTGATCGCTAAGAGAAGACTGAATAGCTCTGGGGGAGAGCAGGTCCGGCCTTCCGAGGACATTCAATGTTGCGCTCCCAACAAAGTTTATCTGTAAAAGTGTATATGGCAATAAGTTTATATATATATATTTTTTTTAACACAAATATTTCAAATACTGGAAACAAACCCCAACAAAGCTAGAAATCCCAAATCTATCTCACACGTCGTGAGTTAGGACTTTTATCGCAACACAAATACAAAGACCATACTTAGTTCTACAATGAACTAATGATAATAGTTCTTTTCTCTCTGAAAGATTAGCCCATATAATGAAATTTCAGCACAAATCACTTTGACCAAATGAAGAAACACCTCCCGTGAAAAGGGTAATTCACCCTATCCCACAGGAGTTTTAGCCGTCAGCTCAACACACACTCGCACGGGTGTGTGCGTGAGTGTGTGTGATATGACGGCTAAAACCCTTGGGGTAGGATCCAATTAGCCCTGTGAGATGATAAAAATAAGAACCAATCAAATCAGGATAAGCAAAGTTCTCCCCAAGGTTTATTTGCCTTCTCAATGATTAAATTGGTCCCCACACCAATTTTAGTTTAATTATCCCTATTAGCAAAACGAAAAACCAAACATGTAATGAAAATTCAGAGCTTCAACTGTCATAGCTTAAAAGTTTGTAAAATGACAGCAGACTCTCACTTGAGATACCAAAAAGTAGGCTCTTTTTTCTTAAATCAACCCTTCAAAGGCCAGAGACTGATGCACAATTCAGACACTCAACCTTTTCCGCTGGTAAGTTTTAACTATGCAATGAACTCGACAATATACAATCCAAAAGAACGCATTCCTCAATTTCCAAAAACATACGTCAAGAATTAAAGCTAATGATGTAAACCAAAAAGAACTATCTGTATCTGGAAAAAATCACATGTCCAGATAGAGTTCCAAATATATTAGACGTCATAATAACATAAAGCAATGCAGACAGGCAAATAGCAAATCAGCAATGCAATATCCAAGTCTATGTGTCAATGAGTTGTAAATTCTATCAAAAACTAAATGACAGAAAATGTTGCTGTCTGTACCGAATCTGATGCCTTGTGAAACAACTCTTTTGCCAAGGGCACAATGCAGAACCTTCAAAGAGCAAAACCCCAAAAGAANAAAAAAAAAAGAAGGAAAATATTAAAAAAGTCGCTTTATCAGAAGTCAAAACACGTTATAAAGCTATAATTTTTATTTTTCTTTCTGAAAAAAATAAGCTGAATTGCTTCACCAAACGGAAATAAAATCAAATGCGCAGTTTCATCATACATTCCACGGCCGCCGACCAAGGCTTCTTCCGATGGCTCTTTCCACTCGTCCAACCTGCAATGTAATAATAAGCAAATTGATTAATTATAAGATAAAGAGAGGAAAAAAATTATGCGGACGGGTAGAGAAAATACTTACACCCAACCATATCGACGGTCGAACAATAGGCGTTTGCGAGGCGGACCCGATGCGGTGGCGGCGGAGCTCACGGCGGCTGTCGGCGGCGTCATTTGTTCTTCCGAAGCTGATGACATCTGCAAAAGAGTAGCAACTAGAAACGTGAAGAGAAGTGATAACATTTTAGAAATTTACATTTGGCCCCTCAACATCTGAACTTTTATATTTCCAGTCACGGTACTGAATAGACTAAAATGGTGAAGTTTAGGGATTGCGATGCAATTTCGTCTTTTGCAATTGCAGTTCCAGGTTCCCGCTCTCTTCTTTATGGGAGCCAACCACACTCTCTCGCGCACACACACACACATACAGAGATATTTTCACAGTTCAGAAAAAACAGAAATTTCGTCTGGCAATAATGATGAAATCAAGCAGAGAATCGACGCCTTCAAATGTTTCGCATTCAGGTAATTTTTTCCGGATTTTGATGCTCGATTTCGAGGTTTATTTGCTATCTGCAACTTGTTCGAGCTCGATTCTGTGATTATCGAGATTTTTGTGCAGATTTTAGCTGGAGTAGCTTGATCATTGTATTTGATGTTGTTTATCCGCGATTCTGAAAGTTACTAATCGAATCACTGTTCTTCAGAGGGATAATTGAGCTGATAGTGAGAAATTGTAGTTATTTGGAGTGTAGATACATCAATTTTAAACTCTGTGATGCTCCGGTAAATTTCAATGATCGGTTACACTTATGCAATGTCTAGTTTATGTTATTCCGAAATTATGATATGCTGCTAGTGAAGGAAATTGAATTAGCGTAATATATGCAGCTTGATCGTTGTATTTGATGTTGCTGATCGAATCACTGTTTGTCTTGTTCCACAAAAATAATGATGAAACTATACTGAGAGGGATAATCAAGCGACAGTGAGATGTTGTAGTTATTTGGAGTATAGATTAATCATTTTTAAACTCTTTGTTGATCAAGTAAATTTCGATAATTGGTTACGTTTATGCAATGTCCTGATTATGTTATTTCCAAATCATGATATGCTTCTGGTGAAGGAAATTGAACTGGCTTATGTTATTAGTCCATAATCTAACTGAATTGGGCGATCAAGTGAAAATTCCACAGGAAACTCTTTTT